TCACTGAACTATAAGGAGGAGGAGGGAAAGCACAATCAGACTTGCAAAGGTTCTGCTATTTTGGCCAGTTTCAGTAAAATTATTTATTTTATTTTTATTTATTTTATTTGTTTGTCAATCGCTTACAAGATAATAGGTATAAGTATAAACATGAGTAAGAATACAGGAAATAGGCATGAATAAATGGGGACAATAGGACAGGGATGGTCGGCATGGTTGTGCACTTATGCACGCCCCTTACAGGCCTCTTAGGAATGGGGTGAGGTCAATAGTGGTTAGTTTGAGGTTAAAGGAATGGGGGTTAGAGGATATAACAATAACATTCCAGGCATTGAGCACTGTTGCTGAAGTCGTACTTTCTGCAATCAAGTTTGGAGCTGTTTACATTGAGTTTGTATCTGTTGTGTGCTCTTGTATTGTTGTGGTTGAAGCTGAAGTAGTCATTGACTGGTAGGACAGATAATTTAGCAGATAATTTTGGGTGCTATGCTTAAGTCCAACCGTAGGTGACATAGTTCAAGATTGTCCAAGCCCAAAATCTCAAGCCTAGTGATATACGGTATTCTGTTGCAAGCAGAAGAGTGTAGTACTCTTCTCGTGAAATACTGCTGGACTCACTCAATTGTATTAATGTCTGATATTCAGTGCAGATTCCAGACAGATGAGCTGTATTCAAGTATTGGTCTAGCAAAGCTTTTGTATGCCCTAGTTAGCAATTCAGTATTACTAGAGGAGAAGCTTCGTAAGTTTAGATTTACAGCTCTTAATGCCTTTTTGGCAATACCGTTACAGTGAGCTCTGGCGCTTAGGTCGGTTGATATGAGTACTCCAAGGTCCTTGACAGAGGATCGTCAATGAGGTCATATCTGCCTAGTTTGTATTTGGTGTACTGATTTTTTTTACCAATGTGTAGGACAGAACATTTGTTAGTTGAGATTTGGAATTGCCAATTGTTTGACCATTGAGACACATAATCAAGGTCGCTTTGAAGGACAGAAAGATTTTATTTCATGTGGATTAGATTTCATGTGGTCTTGATTTCTTGTTCTGGTCTACCTAATGAGGCTACAGGAGGCAAGTGATAAGCAACTGAGTTGGGACCATAGAATAGCAGAGCTATGCTAGGACTACAAGCACAGCTATGAAACCTTAGATAACTGTTTGATGAATTGAATTGGTCTGTTCAGGTGGCGTCTTTCCTCGCCCCTCATAAAACCCGTGCCACTGGCTGCTTTCTGGGAAGAGTGTATATGGTGACAAAGTCAAAGCTGGGGGAAAAAACCACGCTTAAAGCCTTAAGTCTTCCCTTTACTACCTCTATGACCATTTCCACCCACTGCCTTATTAAAAAGTTTCTAGCTGTTGGTGCTGTTCCTTCGCACCCTTACTGCCCAAAATAGCTTTAGGTTTCATAGTGATTGATGTTACTTGCAAACTGCCATGGTATTATTAGTATCCTGAAAGATGGCATATAAGGAATAGTGATCAATGATAAATAGTTCCCTCTCTTTCAGCTTAGTTTTTCTCTTTGTCTCCCTCTAGCTCCCATAAATACCTTCTGGTCAGAAGGAACTGAATATCCATATATATGCCACTTTTATTTAAACATTTGCTCAGTTATAAAGTGACTAAAATAAGTATAATCTCAATTTCAACAGAATTCTCAGCATTTCTAAAACGAATAAACCAAGTGGCATTGTTTCAACAAGTGACTTAAAAGGGGGATTCCAACTATTTGAATAAATCAGGGATATTGGTGCATCTGCTGCTGAGATAATTGGATATGTTATTTATTGTATTCTTATTTCATCCCCCTTCTCAGCAACTCTGGACTATGTAATGGTTTTGGGGTTTTTTTTAATTCCACAAGCCATCATGAATTCAAGGGGAACACTCATTATAATACCTTCCTGAAATTCCGAATTACATTTCTGAAAGAACAGCTTGTCCCAATCTAGTAGAAGGCGAGGGGAAAGAGAGAATGGAAAGGAAGTATTTTAAGAGGGCAAAAAGGAAAGGAGAAGGATTCCTGAAAGAGAAAGATGTTGCCCTGTCTAAGACTTGCTCCAGTACAATCTGTCACCAGCATATGTTTACTTTCCAAAAACGTTTGAAAACAAAGTTAATTCTTGCTCTCTATATTACAGCAGATTAGTTAATCCTATTACACAGTACTGCAGACTGCTGGCTAGATGCACACTCCCCTCCTGAAGAAAATATGCCTTTTTCAGACACATGTGGAATAATATACCACAGCTGCTTTCTCAGGAGTAAAAAGAAAAGGACTGGTCCTTTCAAAACTAGAAACTTAAGAGAAGTTGTACTATAAAGCAGGGGACACAGCCATGTTCCTTATATCATCTGAATAATATTCAGAAGTTCTAAGACGCTGAGATAGTTAACTGAACCATAGAACATTTGTTCAAAACATGCTATTTCTTTAAAATTAGGTAGGGCAATTAACTAGGAATCATAGAGTTTCATTTTTATATTCTGTGTATTTTATATTCTGTGTATTCTATATTGTTCTGGTGAACTAGGAATATATCTAACTCTATCCAAATTTAAGGCTAGACTTGAAGATATTTTTTATTTTTGTGATCTGAAATAATTTGAACTCTGCTGCAATCTCTTTATAGACATTATAGACAAAATAGTGCAGCAGATCATTGCCATCTTGTGGTCTTAACAAAACACTGCAGTTTTATTTTGGATTTCCTTTCAACTAATTTGCAGAGGTGCATGGGGTACTTTGATATGAATAGCCCTGCAATTTATCTCCTTCAACACAGAAGATTTTTGATTACTTGAAATTAAGGTTTACATTTTTATTTCTTTTTAATTTCTCCATAGTTGGAATATTTTTACAAGCAATAAATAAAACCAATCTTCCAAAACGGAAAAGAAGGGTTGAATCCTCTACCCATATGTCTATAAAGTGAGATAGAACTTTATAGAGCTTTTTTTCAACTTCCATATACTGATTTCCTAATTGTCAGAAAGGCAACACCTGTTGTGACCATCTCTCTCATACATCAAGGCGTCTCATGGAAGACACCTTGGGGCAAAATAGGAGGAGGGAAGGTTTGAAACCTCCATTCTTACATCATATGGAGTCAGCTATATTACACTGACAAAGATGCATTGTGATTGACCTGGGATACTTTAATAATGAGAAGAACACTCTGAAAATAAAATATTTTGAAGAGTTGAGTTTCCACTTTTGAACAACTGGTTGGGTTGTGAAAAATAATAATAACATTAAGAAAATGTTCTTTAGTCTGAAGAAGAGACTGAATAAACAAAAGTTAATATGAAGTAAGCTTCTTTGTTGCTCTAGAGCATGGGTGACAAGCTCACAGTGCCATTTTGTGCCATTTTTCCCATTTGTGGAGGTGGGGTGGGCATGACCTGCACATGATGCATCTGGCCCATAGGCCGCCAGTTTGACACCCGTGTGTCTAGAACAGGGGTGTCAAACTCAAGTTCATTGAGGGCAGGATCAGGGCTGTGGTTGACCTCAGAGGGCTGGGCGGGTGTGGCCGACTGAATGGGCATGGCCAGCTTGATGAAACTCCCCAAACTGATGGTATGTTTCCTCTTTGCATTGGGTAGACTGGGTCAAAGCTACGCTGGCCCAATCTTTCCGCTTCGCACTGGGTAGACCAGGATGGTCCTGTGGGCCAAATCCAGCCTTTGGGCCTTGAGTTTGACACCCCTGGTCTAGAGCAATTCTCAATTGCATTATAGCAGTAGTAGTCCACTCTATCAAAGAACCTAAAGCTTACTCTAGTACAAAAATATCATTTGTATAATATATCTAATATTTAAATAAATTTAGAAGTGACTATGCTATACTTTACCTGGACTATAAATCCAATCTATGGTATGCATGCAACTGTTTGTGAGCCACTGTTCTAGAGTGTATAGCTAGAACTGGGTAGATATTGGAAGAAGCTAAGAAAGTCGTTGATGTAATAGGCTGCCTTGGTAATAACCAGATTCTTAACGAGATGGAGAGATTTCTGTCAGGGACACTGTTAGAACATCTTGCATTGGTTTGGTTTAGTTAATCCCCAGCATGTCTGGAGATCTTCCAAGCACCTCCCAAAATATTTTTGAACTAACATTTAATGGATTATAAAAAATGTATTAGATACTTATTAACTGGGTTTAGTTAATTAAATTAAGAGCGAAGTTTATGTTTAACATGCCGCTAAAATGTTAAGTGTGATCCTGAGTTCAAGAACAGTCGGCTATCCTGATCTACAGTCCTAAAGGTGCTTTCTCAGCTCAAGCTGAAGAAGCTTCTTGGATGAGAAGTGAAATGTCTTCAAAGAAAAACAAGAAAGTCCAGTTGCCTCTTGAAAAAGCACCTTTGAGACAACTGTGACCTGGATGACTAAGAATCTCCATAGACACCTGATTGACAGAATTACAATGGAAACATAGAATCTGCCATCTGAGATAACATCTAGCAGGCAAAAATCCTGATCTTATGTTTGATACTAAATGGAGGGCATTACTTCAGTAAATCTCTAGATGTACCTTTGTTTTTCTTCAGACGTCTCCTTCTTTCATGCCTGCATGTTTGTTCATTGAATTTATTTTTATTTAGGGATCTGCAAAAACAGCTGACCCCAAATAAAACTTATTTTAATTCCAACATAAGTCTATACTATCTTCAGAAATACTTAATGAAGAACTGAATTGCTAATGTAATGTAATTATAATAATTTTCTCTATTAGATATTTCAACTGTTAGTTGTTTGCAGGTTATATGATTTAAAATGACACTATTCTATTTTTGACACATACAACGTGTGGACTAGGACAGTTATAAACAACATCTGAAGAATTGTAGACTGAGATATATCCTTGTCTCCTTTTGACAAAAGATATTAAGACCAACACATGAAACAGTGCATTTTATTTTTTATTATTATATTTTCCACCTCGGTTTTCAAGAGAGCAGGGCCAGTAAATGTGAATCCACAGGAAATTAGTTGGGATAACTGATGGAAGCAGAGGAGACGTACATTTCTTTGTCAAGAATTCCAAGGATTTATAAAACATTACCTGGATCATGAATAACTGTAGATATGACCAGAAGGGGGGGAAAAGAAAAAGAACAAAGCTTTTAATTATAATTGTCAGCAAGAAGCAGAAAGATAAATTACATAATCTTTGAACTTGAGAAATAAAGCTGATAAAGTTTTTCTGCCCAATAGGAGGAACTTTCATGTAAAAATAGAAGTTTAATCATGCAACTGACCCAGATGCAGATGTACACCCAGAGAGCTACAAGGTTACCATAGTCTATATTTTATCTTACAATGAAACCCAAATAGTTCCCAGATTTTTTTCTGCATGCATCCAAATAAAATAAGTTTAAATGTGTGTGGTCATCACAAGGCCAGCATAACATATATAGTTCCTGTATGCATCTCACTTGATCACGGCAACTATGACATTTTATCCACATTGTCTGTTGTTTGTTGTTGAGTTAATAGTCAGACTGGCAAATTATCCTGACTAACTTTCTTGTCCTCTCACCCTAGCATTTCCCTTGATCTTTGATTTTGCACTGAGGACTCCACACATTGTGCTGAGCACTTTTTGAGCTTGTCTTTAGCAAGAACACAGTTCTTTGTGAGATTCCCTTCACCCCTCATATTAGTTACATCAAAAATGTATGCAATTCATCCTCCTCCTATTCTGCCTCTTGTTCCGATTTGCTCCTTCTCATCTGATACCTACTGTATCTGAGTTATATAACAATCTGATTACATAAAACCTAAAAATGACAACAGGGTTCTTATCTACTCTTTCTGCTTAAAACACCTGCCAAACCACCATAGGAACCTACCTTCAAAATTTGAAAAAATGATGAGATTGTCATTTTTAACAAAATTTCTCCGGTACATTTCACTATATGGCAAGATGTAATGCCATCCCCATCCTGGGCCTATATGGGTGTTATAGGAAGGATCAAAAGTTCCAGTAATGTCAGCCTTATCCCAAAAAGGTTTCCCATCTGTCAAGCAAAATAAAAAAAATAACCATTAAAAAATGAGGTGGATCAACATTTTATATGTATAGCTGCCAACATTTTTAGTAGCTATATAAGATTCAAATAATCAGACAACATTTCCATCCAACATTTTTTACAGAAAAAGTATTTAGAATATAAGATAATTTTGCCTTGGTAGTGAGGATGGTTGGGGAAGGGAATGTTGTCCTCCCTACATTATTTTATAAAATCTGTGTTAATAAGCTTTCTCATTCTCCAGGAGAATTCCTGCAAAAAAAATCTAATTAACATAACTTTCATTATAATTAGCTTCACATGTCTCAGAGTATCTGAAAAATGGAGACTTGGCTTAGATACATCTTGCTTATGACTGTTTCTGCATTATATTTTGCCAATGAATACAGATGTAGTTAGATGCTTTCAGAGACATACTGTAATTTAAAATGCTACTGATAAACTTTAGAGAATCATGTTATGAATGCATCTGCTCTCCCGAATGGGGCAGCTGGGGGAATTATCCAAGTAGCCTTGACTTCTGGAATATTATTTGTAGATACATTTCCAGGTCCCTAACATTTTGTTTTCTTTTCAGCTGCAAACTACAAATACTTTTATGCCTGATTTTTGTTTATACTTTATTATCACCTGAATTTGTCATAGGTTCTAGAGATTGTCTCAAATTTAACACCAAACCAAGAATTTTTAGCACTTCCAGATTGGATTTCACTAAGTCACTTAGAAATGGGGGGAAAGGTATAAAATAAATAGTTAATTCAATTCTGCAAAAAATTAGACCTGCTTCTTGATGCTAACCTAACCTTCCAAAACTAAAAGTTCTGTCCTATTGATGCTACACTATCTTCAACAATTCTATGATTTTTAACATATAAAATTTGATTCTAATCTATCCAGTCATAGGGAGTATTTCAGATCAATTTTTTTAGCAGCTGTAGAATTATGTTTCTAAACAAGAAAGGAAGCTGTCAGTTCTGCACAACCCAAACCCCCTTTAGACTTACTGTAACGCTGGTTGGGGTCTGTAACAAAACTTCGGCTTGCTGACATCCTTTGGGTGATGTCAGGATCTTGATCCACTATGGTGAATGTCACTTGCCTGTTCACAGCTGGCCATTCTAATGCTCCATCATTCTGGCCACTACACAAAGAAAACATGATTCCTAGGTAATCTCCATTTGAGTTGGCTGGACCCCGGGGATAGAGACTGAGCACAAAGCAGTAGCCTTCAGAGTTATAAAAGATAGGGCTTGCCAGATAATCTCCTTTTGAGGTACTCTTTAAAATGGAAGTGAAGTTTCTTATCTGCCAAACACTGGTAGGACATTCCGTTTCAGTCAGAGTGATATCATCAAGGTGAATTCCACCTTTGGAATTCTGTGGGTCTCCTTTAAGGCCATGAAAAACATAGCGGAATTTGGTCCGGGTGTTGAAAGGAATGTTTGCAAAGTTCCACTGCTTCTCTCCATCACCTGAAAGGGGAGAGGGAGAAATCTAATATTTGATTCATTTACATATTCAACCCATTTTATGCCGCTTTCCCTGCGAGGATCTGAAAGCTATATTTAGCAGACGCTAAGTGAGGAAGACATGAGGATGAAATTACTTCTTTTGAAAGAAGATTGGCTTGTGCTCATTCTTTAGATTTATTCTTTCTGATCTCATATATGAAAGACTAACCTGAGATGTATTTTAACAGAGCAGGATTTCTCAACTTTGGTAACTGTCAGTTATGTGGATTACAATCCAGGGGTGGGATTCTACCGGTCTGGACAGGTTGTAATGATTCTGCACAGTTTGGAGAACCGGCAAATCATGCCCATGGCTGGCCACACCTCTCTCCGCACGCCCCTCCCCTCCCTACCCAGTCAGTCTTTATTGTGCATGTGCAACATCATGCCCATGGCCGACATCGCTGACTGCATTCTATCTGGCCCAGTCACTCCTTAAGATATGATCAGCTGTGCCGGGATCCCCCTCACTGTCTTACTGCTTCACCCAGGAGGCTTCTCTGAGGCCCAGGAGGCCCCAAAATGGAGTGCTGGGGGGTGCTGCGAGCACCCCCTGCGCTCTGTTTTTTGCCTTCCTAAGCCCCAGGGAAGCTTCCTGGAAGCAAAAAATGCCCCCCCCCCCCGAGGCCCAGGAGGCCAGAAAATCAGGTGAGGGGGGGTTGCTAAAAAAAAAAAAAGAGAAGTCACGCCCACCCAGCTATACGGCCATGCCCATCTAGCCACACCTTCAGAACCGTTGTTAAAAAATTTGAATCTCACCCCTGCTTCAATCCCAGAATTGGAGTGGCTCTCTGACTGGGGAATTCTGGGAACTGAATTCTACACATCTTAAAAGTCCACACACCCATACACACCCACAGCCTTAACAGAATCCCCAAAAGAGGAGAGCTGTGTGGCTTGGTCTGTCTCAGGAGAAAGCTTCTGAGTTAGTTAGCTGGACGAGGGGGAAGGCTTGTCTCAAAATGTGGAAGCTCACAGATGCTGCACCAATAGACTTTCAGCGTGGCATGAAAGGAGAAACCAGAGCGATTCTTATTCCCTCTATACAAATGGCTGCAAAGTTTTTCTGGGTTTATTACACACCCCAATTAGGTATTGGATATGAGAAGGCAAAGATAACTGATGCTCTCTTTAGGAGATAAAGTATAATCCTGCATGCCTCATTGTAATTAAATCCTCAAGGGTTACCTGAGAACTCACCACGGATGCTCTTCACTTTTATTGACTTCCTAATGTTTCCAGTACCATCATCAGTTTTAAGCCACACAATCAGCTCATCTTTTGGACTGCCATCAAATTTGTAAAAAAATTGTAGGCACTTCTCATTTCTTCTTGGATAAAGAATGCGGGACTCCAAAATGGCTGTTTCACCTGAAAGGCCTTTGGTGGTATCGAAGCTCATAATGTATCCTTTCTCTGTAAAGTAGATGAAGATGATTTAATGTCCTATGAAGCATGGTTCACTTGGGACAATTGTGCAGGATTTCACTGGGCACTCATGAAAATGTGCTACTGTAATCTTATAATAAAAGTAATATTAGCATTCATAACTGGTTTTCTAGCCCTGTCTACTTCAAAGGGCTGGCATCAGTTTTGCAGGTCTGGATATGCTTCCCTCTCCTTCCCTCTTCCCATTATCTTTCTGAAACCTGGGAAGTGTCAATTCTGAGACACTTTCTCAAATTACTTTTGTGGCACAGACCAGATTTCTTTTGTTTGACCATTGCCTCGGTTGTGGGTCTTCCTCCTGATCTTCAAGGCTTTTCCTTCTGCCCACAACACACTCACAGACACACACACACACACACTATATAGATATAGATATAATCATTAGGAGATTTTAATTGCTGATTATTTGTCACATATTGACACTTCGGGTACAATTAACATTACAATTAATTCTCTCTTTTTTCATATGCTATATCCTTCCTATTGGCTTTGATTACTAAATGATTTCCAGTTGTATAGCCACTTTCTCAACCATTTAAATTACACGTTAATATGTTACCTAAGCAGCGGTTGTTGTTATCCCTGGTTGTAGTCAAGGTATGTTCCCAGTCCTTGTCGTCTCTTCCATTTTGCACCATGCCACAGATATTGATGGACTCAAATGAACATTGGTCAAGGATAGTAAGACTGGAAGCTGCAGGAAATACCCCCCCCACACACACACATTTCAGATTAAAGTAATCTAAATAGAAATTAGACAGATCTCTTCCTAAATTAATGACAGGTGCTGCTCTCTTCCCAAATTAATGTTGTGCTCCTTTGGAGAATTAAAACATCATCAAAACTACCTTGTTAAGGCAAAGACAGTTTGAGAACCATTCCCAGCTCCATATGAGTATTAGTGTAGCATGATGTCCTATAAGTGTTCTGAATGAATAGTTGAGTCAATTTTACACAATATTTTATAGACCAAGAGATGCAATGAAGTAGCTGGGAGGCCATAAATGATCAGAGGGTGCTGACGGCAATTAGTGGGGACTAGTAGCTCCATGTGTGCCTCAGATTTGGATTGATCCCTCCTATTGTATGGTCTTGGGAAAAGACATGCAAGATATGCAAGACATGCAAGGCTCAAGAAGTTGCAATTGGGTATGTGTGCATTCTGATGGACCCCCAAAACACCTTTGTGCTTTCAGTTCTGTAGTTTCCATAGAGATATTCCTAATGATAGACTAAGTTGTTAAGGAATATTTAAGATGTAAGTCCCAAAGTTGAGCTGAAGAAGCTTCTTGGATGAAAAGTGAAATGTCTTCAAAAAAAATAAGGAAGTCCAATTGCCTCTTGAAAAAGCTCCTTTGGGACAACAATGACCTGCATGACTGAGACTCTCCATAGACATTTTAAGATGTAAGGTTACTATTACTATAGCATGAAAATTGAGTAAAATAGAATAAACTTACCACAATGGTACATGCGGTTAAGCCTTTCTAGATCTATCTTGCTCATGTCCTGGCTTTGCCCAATGACATTGTTGAACTCTGGAATTTTTGTTGTAATTGAAGGGACGGAACTGTTCTTATTGAATGAATAAGGTCCATAATGCAAGACAGATTCATAATCATATGGGGTGTTTAAATCAGAAATGAAACTGTCATCATATTTGTCAAAGTTATATGCCTGACCTAGGAAAGAAAATACCCAAGTTTTTAGGCTAATTTGAAAATTAATGATTTAATATTTTATTAAACAATTAGATAAGACAATCAATTATAACAGATCTAATTTGTACAATTTGCATAGTCCCTAATACATTACTTAATACATTATTTACTTTGTAACATATTTTCTGTCCTTTCCACTTACCATCAATGATTGCATTCCACCAAATCTTAACATAGTCATCTCGATCAGTGCGTGACTGTTCATGGTAAAATCCAAGGGCATGCAAGAGTTCATGCTCCACAGTGTCTTTATATTCACAACGTGATCCAATAGAAACGACTTGGCCATTCTGAAGATCTCCCACATAAGACCAGCATCTGTTATACCATGATATGTTCATTCATTCAAAATAGATGATTTAATATCACATCTAATATAAATACATAACCATTTAGGATAGAAGAGCCAAATGAGAGCAGAATGAGAGCTTCCCATCTACCACATAGGATACCATCTTATTTTTCTAAGCTACCCATTTATATTATATAACGTCACTACAACTTTAAAAGCACAACTATAATGATGTGGGAAAATACCCAACACACACACACACACACACACACACGCACATGCACATGCACACTGATGCTGTTTTATATCATACAAATGCAAATCTTGGATGATACCTATTCTCATACTTCTTAATAGACAAAAGATCATAGGGCTATTCAGATCTTAATAAACAGGCCTTATATCAAACGTTCATGAATTTTGCAAAAATGCACAAAGGTACTGAAGAATGTGTAGAAATCGTACAGAGGGGAAAATGTAGTCACGTACAGAAAATCTGTCTACATTTTTTCAGAAAGAAGGCCGGTCGATGGAGAAACTGTCTACTTTGTGCTTTATACAAGGTTTCAATAAAGAACAAGGGAAGGAATACAGTATCGTTTTGTGCATTTGAACTATGGGCAATAATTATCTAAATGCAACAGCTTTCTATCATAGCGTTAGCTTGTCTGTTTGAATAAATTTACCCATCCAGCTTTTCAAATTGGAGGTAGGACTTCTCTCCTTCATAGGGTTTAAAGTCAATGCAAGATTTGAGTCGAAACATCTCAAATGCTTGAAATATGACACCCTTGGTATTCAGGTCTGAAAGAAAAGAATGCGTATTTTATATTCTTATCCAGTCTGTAGACAAATGAGAGATTCACAACTTGCTCTTAAATAAAGCATGTCAGATATTTTTACATGGCTTTGAGGATACCATAGTCACCTACAAAAGCATTATATACTTCGTCAACAATATCAGAAGTAATAAATTAGATAAAAATGGAGTGCTACTAGAAGGATTCTCCCAGTAGTCATTTGCTTTTTCTACCCATCACTGAATCAACCAATGATCTGGAGCAGGGATAAAGAAAATGGCTTGCAAAGCTACTTCCTTGAGTAGTTATTATTGGAGCAGTATATTACTTAGTCCTTGAATAAAAGTGTTTGGTTCTCAACAGTACTGCCTCTTGACAATGATTTAGCACTCCATTGTGACTCATAACTTACAGTGGGGAAGGCGGGGGGAAGGAAACCTATGGAAATCTCTTTAAATCAGAAGTAATATTTTTAAAAATGACTTCCTAAAAATGTGTTTCATTACCAGAACCCTTGTTCTGACTCAGTGTTCCTTCCTCTCTATCAGGGCTTGACTAGAAACATCCTGGAAGAAAGCAAACCACTTTCATTACGTCAGGAAAGTTACATGGAGGGAGCTAATGGGTCAAACTCAAGGAGAGTTTGTCTTTACTAAAAACCCTGAAATCTGGAAGAGCTGGCTGGAAACATTGAAACTGAAGCCCAAGAGGAAGTGAGCACTCAGTTAAGGAAGGGAACTCTGAAGGAACATTTTAAGGGAGTTGAAAGGGGAAGAGGGCAGATGATCCACTCAATTTGCCTTCTACTGGAATTTACTGCTTAATCCATTGTATCCATCAAACTAATGATCAATCTAGTGTTCTAGAGCAGAAAATGTCTTCTTACCTATACTGGCACCCATTTTGTACGGAATTGGCAGTTTCCATCTATAGGAGTCATTTCTCAGTGCATTCCTTTCATGCTGTTAAAAAAATTAAACTATGTTTTTTAAAAAGTTCATTTTGTAACTTCTTTATAAATAAATAGATCAACTTTACATACCGGCATGATAATGTCGCCTTCAAAGAACTTCTTTCCTGTTGCTAAATTTGGAATGAACAATAGTTAAGGGCAAAGCATTATTTAAGAAATTATTATAGGTTTTTGTTCTCAAAATCTTAGACA